AACGAAGTTTAATATCACTCTAATTTTTTCTTTTTTTTTTTTACAAAAAATAATATCAAAAAACTAACAGTTAGGTAAGGTATGTAAAGATTGGCGATGATTGTAGCGACAGCAATAATACACTATAGGAAACATACAGCAGTTACAGCAACTTTTAATTTGTTCTGATAGTTGAGAAATGATAATTTAGACAACAGAAGACAAAAAAAAAAAGATCCAACACTAAATCTAACAGTTTGAACAGTGACGTCTTTAAAGTTAGTGAAATTGTTAATTTTGGTATGACCCGTTTCTATTTGCAAAACAATTCATATAGCCAAATTTACTACTGTTTTATCGCCTTCAATACAGTTTTTTTTCTTCAGTTAACTCAGTTTTATCATTCTTCATCAAATTTTTTCAGCGCTGTTGTTCGGTGTTTCACATACAGAAAAATGCAGCAGCAGCAGCAGCAAAATTTTTCACTCTTTTTTTAAATCTTCATTTTTTGAATTTTTTTCTTCTTATATATAATCACATTAAAATTTCTTATTAAAAACATTCATTAAATGTCAAAAAAAAAAAAAAAAAAAAAGAAATTTTTTTTTGAGTACAAAACTTTTTAGCAGGAAAAACTGTTAATTTTAGAGGGTTTTCTTTCCTTTTTGCTTTTTTTGTTATTATTCTTCCCCGGTAATCTTATGACTGTAAAAGTAATCACTAAACAACTTTGTTTTTTTTTCTTTGCAACTATTCTTGTCACAGGTTCTTTTTTTCATTGAAACTTTCAACTATTTTCTTGCTATTCTTTTTTTTTTTTTTGAATTTTTGCTCTTATGGTGAACATAAGTAATTTTTTTTCATTCTTCCAATATCTTTAACTGTCAATTTTTTTTTCATGTAGAAATATTTATGTATATAAATGCAGCAAACATTACCATTTATAATCCAAAAAAAATTTATTTTTTGTACTTTTGTTTTTTCGTCGTTTTTCCGTCAAGAATTTGTTCTGATAGTTGGGAAATGATGATTTAGACAACAGAAGACAAAAAAAAATCCAACACTGAATCCAACAGTTTGAACAGTGACGTGTTTGAAGTTAGTGAAATTGTTGATTTTGGTATGACCCGTTTCCATTTGCAAAAAATTGTTGCCAACAAAAAGAATAATAAAATTGCAGATTGTGCTTTAAAAATTTTTATGAAATTATAGCAAAACAAAAGCAATTAAAACTTTAACAGCAGCTTAGGAACGGTGTGTTGATCACAGTGATATCTGAATGACAATAATAGACCGTGTTTTTGATTCTGCAACAGACATTTAATGATTATACAGAAGCAGAAACAGTATTTCACATCAATATTATTTAACCAGTTTCCTTTTACTGATACATCAGTTGTTAAATGTGATAAGTTCAGAAGCTAATTTTATTTTTTCTTTGCAGCTCATTATTAATGTCTAATTGAAAATCAGATACCTATTTGCTGTTGCGGCAAATTGGCAGCGTTTTTGATATCAATGTCAAAGTTCAGTTATATGCTGATGATTAGAACAAATATCTGGTTTCAACCTATTCTAATCTTCTTCTCACTTCAGATGACTATTACCTACCCATCTGAAGCAAATAAACATAGTTTAGTTAGTCATTTGCTATTAACGTTTTGTCAGTGCCGATATATATGCCATTGAAATTAATTAATGTACTGCTCATTTGTTTGTGACTTTATTTCGATTAACCTAATAGAAAAAAACGCTAAAAATGTCTTTATAAATGATTGAATAGTCAAGAATTTCTGCTGTTTCTTTGGTTTTAATTTGGCTAAATTTCTTTTTACAATTTTTTTTTATTTATTTGCTAAAATTTTTTCAATAATTTGCTCTGCAAAAAACTGCTTGATTATTATTTTGCAAACTGTAATTGTTCATTTACATTAAATAGTTCTATTTACATATTTTTAAGTTTGTTGTTGCCTCCGTTCCATTTTCGTTTTGTTGTTCTGTGACATCATTAATTTAGGTTATAAACAAGAAGATGAAAACATAAAATAAAAAACAAGAAAAAAACAGCAAATCAGTTTTATTTTTAGTAAGTTAAAAAGTTATCATTACTGTTTCAAAAAAAAAAAGAAGAAATAAAGTAGAAACAACCATTTTGTTAAGTCTAAAAACATGCAAAAAAAAAGGTATAAAAAAAGCATTGTTTAAAAAGTTAGGAGAAAAGTTGAAGATGAATTTAACTAATAAAGATCATTATCGTCATTATTTGTTAACTGAAAAATTCATTTTTTTCTTTCCTGCTCCGTTTCTTTAGTTGTTTGTTGAGTGTTGGCAAAAATGAAATTCAGAAGTGGAAAATATAGTGAAGACGGAAGTTTTTCATACCAATGACGTAACCAAACACCTATTTAGGGAGTCAGCAAATTTGATGGTTACTGCAACAAATTTTTCGAGGTTGAATCGCTGTCGATTCCATCGTCGTAGTTGAAATTAAGCGGTTTCACGGTTTTTAAAAGGAAATTTGTTGTCTATGTTGATATACTGTTTTTAAAAGTTGTACAACTGTTTTGTTTTTTTTTTTCTTTTTTGCAACAAAATCTCCTTTACAATTGTTTATATTGAATGAACGATATAAGGACAAAAAAATTCTTATTTTTCTCTTTTTTGTAAAGTATTTTTTTTTCTTTTTTGATTTCCTTACTTTATCTTTAACTTCTTTTTCTTTTTAAAACTGAGAGTGCAATTTTAAACTGTTGGTTATAAATTAAACGGTAGTAAACAAATTTGCTGGGCTCAAATGATACTCTCCTTTGACTGATTATACAAAGTGATAGAAATAATGACGAAGCAGTGAATACTGTCATCGTCCAGAAAAATGATGACAAAAAATTCGTTGATCGTTAACATTTACACAAAAGCATTGGGAAATTGTTTCAAAAAATTGAAATTGTTTCACTTGATTTTACCCATCTGAAGCACTAAACAACGGGTAAACCCTGCTTTATAACCAGTTGTCAGGTTTACTACAACTGAAAGTCTACAACGACAACATCAACGGTATCGTTCACCGACGTCACCGACTGTTTCCAGGTAGAAATCAAAAACTAACAGTCTGGCTAGTAAATTTGCTTATTTGAACGGCTTCAAACAGTATTTATTTTCATACGGGTAAAAAATTTTTGTTGCAACGGTTTGTTGTGGTGAATGAAGAATTAACGAAAGGAGTACGTGGTATGCTAAAAAATGAATGTTCGTTATCTAATAATATTTCGATTTAATTATTCTGTCTTTCCTTTTGCCAGTTTATTGTTTTAATTTTCAGTATTTGTAAGAAGTAAAAAAGCAGAGTACGTATAAAATTCTTAAGTAAACGAATAAAAAATTGAAAACTTACAATTTATTGTTTGACTTCTTTTTTTCTTCGCTCTTTTATTTGGACAACTTTTTAAACAATAAAAAAATCTGTAAAATTTTTGTCTCAAAAAATGTTTTATAAATCAGATAAATTTTCAAAAGTACATCAGTTAACATCTTCCTCCAAAAAACTGTACTGAAATGCTGTTCTTCCAATTTTTATCTTTCATAGGATTTGGAAAGATCCAATTTTTATCTTTCATAGGATTTGGAAAGAAGAAGAGACGAAAAAGCGCGGAAGGCAGAGCGGCTTTAACCTTCCTTTTCTGATCTTCTGATTAAATATGAAAACAACTTAGAGTTGGAAATTCTGGTTTTTTTGTGCGTTTCTTAGTTGCATTTGAAGATTTATTTTCTTTTTTTGACGCCTATTTTTTTCTTCTGACAAAAGATTATGTCAAAAACACTGTGAAATGAAAATAATTATAAAT